TTGTGCCACATGATGGCCTAGTGGGGTGAGGACAGAATATCGTCAGTCAGTAGTTCAAGTCGAGTCAAGAGTCGTGTCAGAGGCAGTCGGAAACAGAGTCGCGTTCAGACAATTACTGCAAGACATTGGAATAGTGATATTGGTCGAGACTACATTGTTCTCTCTACTAAACCTGATTGTTCATACTAACACTTTCTACTTCTCTGTATGTATTCCTGTTTGTAATATATCTGTGTTATTCCATAACTGTGTTCGAGTTCTTCTTTATTGGTTTTACCTTGGACTATCACCGTGGTACAAGGAACCGGACCATAACAATATGTTTAATCGATAAAGATGCTGGGAAAATGGCCAATTCCTTCTACAGTAAATACGGGATTTCTTCTGTCATCTAAGAGTCGGAGAGACAAACTGAGTAATTCTGATATATTTGGGTTGGAGCTGACCAAAGTTATCTTTGCAGACTTGATAGAGTTCAAAATCCTCTATAGGCATTGTGGGTAATTAAATATTTTCCACCTACAATTCTATTTCTAGAGAAGAAACGTCGCAAGTCTCTCCCTATACCATCGCTATTCCCATGGCTAAACTTTTAATGAGCTACAGCGTGCGATGAGCACATTGTCGCCATTTTGTATTTTTCCTTTCGCGCATGGACATTGTTTTTGATTTTGTCGACTGCACAATAGTAGGGTCAGTTGGGTTGGCAGCTTTGGACGAAAAAGACCATGAAATGATGCATTTGAGTTTGCCAAAAATTTGAAACTTCATGCCGTACTGCTTGACATTCGCGTAAAAGAAAATACGAACATTTCAAATTACGAAAGATTTGGATTATATATCTGTTATGGGACCTTACCCATAATAACATTATGGACTATTCCATACGTAATAAATACTGCGTCTCAAGAGGAAGCAGGGAGTTCTGTCTGAATTCAGGAGTTTTGTCTGAAGTCTAGAGTTCAGCCTGAAGTCTGGAGTGAGGTCCGTCAGGAGTCTGTCAGAGCTAGTGAGTCAGTCAGTCGAGTCAGAGGCAGTCCGAAACAGAGTCGTGTTCAGACAATTACGACTAAACCTGATTGTTCGTACTAACACTTTCTACTTCTCTGTATATATTCCTGTTTGTAATATATCTGTGTTATTCCATATCCGTATTCGAGTTCTTTATTGGTTCTACCTTGGAATATCCCCGTGGTACAAGGAACCGGACCATAACAATATCCATTTCAACATCATGTTGTTTGGAGTGATCACGAGTGATGGCAACGTTATGACTCCATTCATATTCCCACAGAATCTCAGATCCATACATCAAGTCCTTTGTGTTGCCCTGAGTCAAGAGGGTGTTGCAAGACCCTATGCAACAAGACTCTGCACCATGCCACACAAAGAGAATAACCCAGTCATGGCTGTCATAAATTTCTGCGATCCCATCACCCCTTACATCTGGTCATCTAACAATCCAGGCTACAACCTCATTGATTATTATCTGTGACGCAGTTAAGCGAGAGATCACAAAATCTCATTGTAATAGCAAAGATTAACTGAAAAGGGTTTATATATATTATTAAAAGGTACAGTCCTCTTTTTGTCGCCATATTTAATAACTAGCTGGCCGTTGTACGTTCCAGCCGTCTTTGTTGGTTTGAATGTGAATTGAACCTTCTTTTCGCTGTCATATAGACTGTTCTGTTGCAGGTGCCATGTTTAATGGATGTTCATGGAACTAGAACAGTCTACCCCGGTGAGCGAAATAAAGGGTTCAATTCGACCGCCTGAAGAAGGATGGAGCGTACAACGGCTGAAACGTTGTAATAAATATGGCAACAAAGACAAGGACAATAGTCCGAATAATGTAAATAGTGTACATAATACATCATCTCAGAAATATAGACAGATACTGAAGGTAAGGATTATGACTGTCTCACCAACATATACAAGGTACCCGTCCAGGAGAGATACATGTTATCTAGAGACCGTGGTTGAAGCCAATGGCAACTTTATTGAATACATTTACACTAGTATTTTAAGATATTTTTTATCTAATTTTGGTAAATATATCTGTTAAAATGAAATGTCGGTGTTATTTTCATTTTTACGTAAGGTAGACGATAATTTATCAATGGTACCCTACACATTACTAAGTTCCATCAGTTCCGAGTGCTGATTTGAAGTCTTAAATCTATTGCTATTTTAGTTTGCTTTACAACTGTCCTTGTCACGGAGAGCCGACCTGATTGTAATATGTAAGGTGTCAAACCAACATATGACTTCAATACCTTGACTTCCACTCATATCAGGCTAAAACACCGTATTTAATATTGCGCAAAATAACGTATTGTACATTCTAACGGGTCACATTCAACCTCTACAAGCTTATGGACATAATACGTTGAAACATAAGTTCTCGTACAACCAACGAATTTAAGCAATGCCGTACATGGTCAATAACTAGACGGGAGACCTCTTGGGAATACCGGGTGTTCTAAGCTCGGATGTGCCAGTAGTGTAATGGGTAACTGATTGAAATCGAGAGAGCCATGTTCCAATTATACTTCTGTTCGTTATAGTCACCCACGCGTAAATAATCTTGGGAAAGATATTGTTGGATATCAGCTGAGGAAAGACACATTTGGCCTTACTTCCGCGGCATGTATGTGTGAGCGGAAATCGGAAATGGTGATAGCATAAACGGAAATGTGGCTAAAATGAACAAGACGAACAGGTGTCCCGAGCGGATGGAAATGCGTGGGGGAATGCCGGAAGAAACGTGGCCACATGAAGTTGCGTTCGCGAGATACCAGAAGAAGGTTTAGCCACGTGAAGCTGCGTAGGTGTCCAAATGTTATTTAACCAGTTCGATTCTTGATCTTGATAAAGGGGTTGGTTAGAGGCTCACCGTTAATGCCTGTGTGCGCATTCTTAACCTCTTTGATTCTACCTCACTCTACCCATTCACCGCAATTCGAACAATAAAGATGTTTATATATATTTGATATATAAGTATTCGTCGGTCGTCATATTTGAGCCAGGCAACAATATAGGACTCAACCCCGTCTCTCCCCAGTTATGGGTTAATTAGTAGAATTTGTATCAGTAAAAATTATTATTATCTCCCAAAATTCTTCCGATGTAAAAAAACATTTAAAAATCTTTAACTAACACAAATAAGGTTGATACGCCATAAAAACAAGTCATCAATCAATCAACCTATACTTGATAAATAATACAAGTATTTTGACAGACATTACGACTGAGTCAAAAAAAATAGAAAGGTACTATTCATCAAGATATATAATCGCTATGGGTCCAGTAAACCTTTAAATTATTTATTGAGTAAGAAACTAAAAATTAACAGGTCATTAAATATTCATACAGAAGGTACATGCAAAATAGAAAAAAATATATTGAATATGTATTTCATTTAATTGTGGCTAGCCATATCTTATAATATATTGATCTTCACCATCCGAACATAGTAATGCTGATAGGTTTTATTGTCAAATCCCATATGATCATGAATGTTTGAATTGGGTTGTGAAAAAGTACGAATTTAAAGAGATGTGTTGTGGCTGACGAGGATATATTCAAATTGAGGACAATGTAAACATACTTTGATCGATTTTTATGGACGGGCTAGAATAGAATGGCGATCAGCACATTGATATATATATATATATATATATATATATATATATATATATATATCGGGTGACCAAAAATGGGAATTTTAACAATCCAATAAAAACAAGAGTGATGGAAGAAAATATTTCAGAGATTTAATAATTGAAACCTTAAAACATACCATTTAAGAAACAATGATGGAATTTTCATTTTTTAAAATTATGTCCTGTAGATGGTGTCCTGTACGAATGCATTCTTGAAATTTGCTGTTGAGATTCCTCATTGACTGCTTCCACATCTCAGCTGGGATACTGTGAATTTCATCTTGAATTCTAAATGACGAAATGTTTACTTGCTCAAAGTCACTGTCTCGTTTTCAAATGGCTCATGTAACCTTATATATATATATATATATATATATATATATATATATATATATATATATATATATATATATATATATATATATATATATGTATCTATGTATATAATTGACTCTCCCTGTCGCGTGAAAACGATTAGGCCAGTCCCCAGAAAACTGACGTCCTGACACCGGCAAATGAGATTTGTTTATTTTGGTGAAGGATTAATTTAAAAAACTTTTTGTGAGGACGAACATAACAAGGTTAAACGATGAAGGTTTTTTAAAGGTTCCCAAGGGATAACCCAGTTTGTACTGAGATAGATATGCAGCTGGAGGGAGATGAAGAGGATACAGAATGTTGAATTTTATCTGGCTCATAGTCATTCAGCATGGGATTATGATTAATTAAACTAAAACCGTGATTTTATTCGATATCTATATACAATAACATATTTTTATCGATAGGTCCCATTGTTATATAAAATAGTATTTTTTTAGAATATGAATATATATATAGAACGGCGATCATATATATATACAATTATATGTCCTTTGTAGATCTGTTATATATATAAACCATCTGCCTATTCGAAAAGAGAAAGAAAGCAAGAAAAGAGTAATGAAAAGATGGGAAGAATGTGAAAAGAGATAATAAAATGAATGTGTTGAGGAGTTCTCCTTTTATCCAAATGGACTGCCAGTGTATACGTATACTACTTTCAGTGAAGACCCGAGAGATCAAAACCGAAGAAAAAGTCCAGAGTGACAGATTAAAACGTTGTAGGTAACGGAACAGTGGGGGTGAAGTAACAGCGTTTAGGAGTCACTGCGTGCAAGCACGTAGACTCAGCAAAAAAAAGGGATGCAAAATACCAAAGCTTATAGAATTTATTAACTAACTTTATTATGGAATTTAACCTGCTTTACCAGTTTGTATTATTACGTTAATACATTATTTTCATATATTCATTCTGGGTTTGTTATTTATTTGTAGGGAATTTCAACCCGGAACTTAAAACGGAATGAAATGAAGAATATGAAGAAAAGGGGGAAAAGAAAAAAAGAAAAGATAGAATGAGGGAAAAAGTTTGGATGACGAAGAAAAGACTGAAAGAAAAAAAAAAAAACAAATGAAGTAGAAAAATAATGAAAAAGAATAAAGAAGGACCAAATAAAGGGCTAAATTAAAAAAAGGATGATGAAAAAAAAAAAAAGAAAGAAAAAAAAAGAAAAAAAGGAGGAGAGGTAGGAAAAATGGATGATGAAAAAAAGAAAGAAATGAATGAAAAAGGAAAAAAAAAGGATGAGGAAAGAAAGAAAAAGAAAAAAAAAAGAGTGAGTCAAAAAAAAGAAATGATGGAAACAAAAAAAAGAAAAGGAAAATAGGGTAGAAAAAAAAAGGATGATGAAAAGAATAAAGAAAAGAAAAAGAAAAGGAGGATAGGTAGAAAAAAGGATGATGAAAAGAATGATTGAAAACTAAAAAAAGGAGGATAGGAAAAAAAATGATGAAAAGAAAGAAAAAAAAAAGAAAATTCCATAACTGTGTTCGAGTTGATCTTCTTTATTGAAAGAAAAAGAACCTGAGACTGAAAAAAAAGGAAAAATGAAAATAAAAGAAAGAAAAGAAAAAAAATGATGGGAAAATGGGTCAAAAAAAAAAAGGATGATGAAAAGAAAGAAAGAAAAGAAAAAGAAGAGGAGAGACAAACTGAAAAAAAAGGATGATAAAAAAGAAAAGAAAGAAAAAAAGTTATCTTTTGCAGGAGGATAGAAAAAAAAAATGATAAAGGAATTGAAAAGAAAAGAAATTAAAAGGATTTAGGTAAAAAAAAGGATGATGAAAAGAAAGAAAGAAAAGAAAAAAAAAGAAAATAGGATAGGTAGAAAAAAGGATGATGAAAAGAAAATGAGAAAAGAAAAGAAAAGAAAAGGACATAGGTCGAAAAAAGGATGATGAAAAAAAAAAAGAAAAGAAAAAAAAAAAGAAAAAAAAAAACTGCACAGTAAAAAAGGGGGGAGGATGATGAAAAAAAAGGATGAAAAAAAGAAAAAAGAAAAGAAAAGAAAAGAAAAGAAAAAAAGGATGATGAAAAAAAGAATGAAAAGAAAAAAGAAAAAAAAAAAAAGGAGGATAGAAAAAAAGGATGATGAAAAGAAAGAAAGAAAAAGAAAAGAAAAAGGAGGATAGGTATAAAAAAAAAGGATGATGAAAAAAAAGAAATAAAAGAAAAAAAGAAAAGGAGGATACGTAGAAAAAACTGATGGGGTGAAAAGAAAGAAAAAAAGAAAAAGAAAAGGAGGAGTAAAAAAAAAATGAAATGAAAGAAAAGAAAAGAAAAGAAAAAGGAGGATAGAAAAAAAAGGATGATGAAAAGAAAGAAAAGAAAAGAAAAAAAAAAGGATGATGAAAAAAAAGAGGATGAAAAGAAAGAAAGAAAAGAAAAAGAAAAGGAGGATAGGTAGAAAAAAAAGAGTGATGAAAAGAAAGAAAGAAAAGAAAAAGAAAAGGAGAATAGGTAGAAAAAAAGAATGATTCTCTGTATAAAAAAAGAAAAAAGAAAAGGAGGATAGGTAGAAAAAAAAGGATGATGAAAAGAAAGAAAGAAAAGAAAAAAGAAAAGGAGGATAAAAGAAAAAAAAGGATGATGAAAAGAAAGAAAAAAAAGAAATAAGAATATCCAAAAAAAAGGAAATGAAAAGAAAAGAAAGAAAAGAAAAGAAAAAGGAGGATAGATAGAAAAAAAGGATGATGAAAAAAAAAAGAATGAATGAAAAGGAATAGGTAGAAAAAAAAGGATGAAGTCCTTTGAAAGAAAAGCCCTGAGGTGAAGAAAAAGGAGGATGAAAAGAAAGAAAGAAAAGAAAAAAAAAGAAAAAGAAAAGGAGGATAGGTAGAAAAAAGGATGATGAAAAGAAAGAAAGAAAAGAAAAGAAAAAAAAGGAGGATAGGTAGAAAAAGGGAGCGATGAAAAGAAAGAATCTGGTCAAAAAGAAAAGGAGGCTACAAAAAAAGGATGATGAAAAGAAAGAAAAGAAAAGAAAAAGAAAAGGAAAATAGGTAGAAAAAAATTAAAACAAAGAACTGAAAAGAAAAGAAAAGAAAAAAAAAGAAAAGAAAAGATAGGTGAAAAAAAAGAAGTGATGAAAAAGAAAGGAAAAGAAAAGAAAAGGAGGATAGGGAAAAAAAAAAGGATGTGAAAAAAAGAAAGAAAAAAAAAGTTGAAAAAGAAAAGGAGGATAGGAGAAAAAAGAGTGATGAAAAGAAAAAAGAAAAGTCTGCTGGAGGATAGGTAGAAAAAAGGATGATGAAAAGAAAGAAGAAAACAAAAGAAAAGGGAATAGGTAGAAAAAAAGGATGATGAAAAGACCGAAAGAAAAGAAAAGGATGGAGCGTACAGAAAAAAAAAACGATGAAAAGAAATAAAGAAAAGAAAAGAAAAGGAGGATAGTCCGAATAAAAAAAGGATGATGAAAAGAAAGAAAGAAAAGAAAAGAAAAAAAAAAGAAAAGGAGGATAGGTAGAAAACAAGGATGATGAAATGACTGAAAGAAAAGAAAAAGAAAAAGGAGGATAGGTAGAAAAAGAGATGAAAAGTTATCTAGAAAACCGTGGTAGAAAAAAAAAATGGCATGAACTTTATTGAATAAAGAAAAAGGAGAATTTTAGAAAAATATTTTTTATGAAATTTTGGAAAAAATAATCTGTTAAATGTAGAAAATGTCGGAATGAAAGTTAGAAAAAAGAAAAAAGGATAGACGAAAAAAAGGATGATGAAAAATGGAACCCTAAAAAAGAAAAGGAGGATCCATAGAAAAAAAGGATGATGCTGATTTGAAGTCTTAAAAAGAAAAGGAGAATTTTTAGTTTGCTTTTAAAACTGTCCTTGAAAAGGAGAGGTGAAAAAAAGGATGATGAAAAGAATGAAAAGTGAAAAAAACCAAGGATATGACTTGAAAAACCTTGAAAAGAAAGAAAAAAGAAAAAGAAAAAGGAGGATAGGTAGAAAAAAGGACGATGAAAGGAATTTAACGGGTCAAAAAAGAAAAAGAAAAGGAGGAGGAGAAAAAAGGATGATGAAAGAAAGAAAGAAAAGAAAAAGAAAATAAAAAGGAGGAAAGAAAAAAGGATGATGAAACCAACGAAGAAAAGAAAAGAAAAGGAGGATACATGAAAAAAAAAAAGGATGATGGAAAGAAAGAAAAGAAAAGAAAGGAAGAGGTAGAAAAAAAAAGGATGAAAAGAAAGAAAGAAAAGAAAAAGAAAAGGAGGATAGGTAAAAAACTGATGATGAAAAAAGAAAGAAAAGAGAAAAGAAAAGAAAAGGAGGATTAGAAAAAAAGTTGATGAAAAGAAAGAAAGAAAAGAAAAATAAAAGGAGGAAAGAAAAAAAAGGATGATGAAAAAAGCTGAAAGAAAAGAAAAAGAAAAGGAGGATAGGTAGAAAAAAAAAGGATGATGAAAAGAAAGAAAGAAAAAAGAAAAAAAAAAAGGTGAGGAGAAAAAAAGGAAAAGAAAAAGAAAAGGAGGATAGGTAGAAAAAAAAGGATGATGAAAAGAAAGAAAGAAAAGAAAAGAAAAGAAAAAAAAGGAGGATAGTTAGAAAAAAATGAAATGGGGAAAGAAAGAAAAAGAAAAGAAAAGGAGAATTAGAAAAAAAGGATGATGAAAAGAGAAAAGAAAAGAAAAGAAGGTTTAGAAAAAGTGAAAAAAGAGTGATGAAAGAAAAGAAAAGAAAATAAAAATGTTATTTAACCAGAAAAAAAAAAAAATGAAAAGAAAGAAAAAAGGAAAAGTTGGAAAAGAGGATAGGTAGAAAAATGATGATGAAAATGAAAGAAAAGAAAAGATAAAAAGGAGAATAGGTAGAAAAAAAAGGATGATGAAAAAGAAAAAAAAAGAAAAAAAAGAGGAGGTAGAAAAAAAATTTGATGAAAAAAAAGAAAGAAAATAAAAAAAAAGGAGGATAGGTAGAAAAAAGGATGATGAAAAGAAAAAAAAAAAGAAAAGAAAAGGAGGATAGGTAGAAAAAAAAGGATGATGAAAAAAAGAAAGAAAAAAAAGAAGAAAAAAGAAAGATAGAAAAAAAAAAAAAAAAAAAAAGAAGAAAAAAGAACTAAAAAAAAAAAAGGATAAGGATGATGAAAAAAAAAAATGATGAAAATGAAAGAAAAAAGAAAAGAAAAGAAAAAAAAAAAGGAGATAGGTAGAAAAAAAGGATGATGAAAAAAAGAAAGTCAAAAAAAAGAAAAAGGTAGGAAAAGAAAAAAATGAGGAAAAAATGAAAATAAAAAGAAAAGAAAAGAAAAAAAATAATGAAAAAAATGAAAAAAGGAAACAAAAAGAAAAAAAAGAAAACTAAAAAGAAAAAAGGGATGAAAAAAAAAAAGAAAAAAAGAAGGTAGGATGATGAAAAAATAGAAAAAAAGAAAAGAAAAGGGAGGATAAAAAAAAGGATGATGAAAAGAAAGAAAAGAAAAGAAAAAAAAGGAGGATAGGTAGAAAAAAAATGATGATGAATGAAAAGAAAGAAAGAAAGAAAAAAAAAAAAAGAAAATGAGGAAAGAAAGAAAAAAAAGGATGACAAAAGAAAAGAAAGAAAAAAGAAAAAAGAAAAAGGAGGATAGGAAAAAAAAAAGGATGAAAAAAAAGAAAGAAAAGAAAAAAAAAGGAGAAAAGAAAAAAAGAATGATGAAAAGAAAGAATGAAAAGAAAAAGAAAAGGAGAATAAAGAAAAAAGATGATGGAAAGAAAGAAAAGAAAAGAAAAGAAAAGGAGGATATAGAAAAAAGGATGATGAAAAGAAAGAAAGAAAGGAAAAAAAAAATAGGATAGGTAGTGAAAAAAAGGATGATGAAAAAGAAAGAAAGAAAAGAAAAAAAAAAGGAGGAAGTAAAAAAGATGATGAAAAGAAAGAAAAAATAGAAAAGAAAAGGAGAATAGGTAGAAAAAAAAAATGATAAAAGAAAGAAAGAAAAAAAAAAAAAATGATGGAGAAAAAAAAAGGATGATGAAAAATGAAAGAAAGATAAAGAAGAGGAGGATAAGAAAAAAAGGATGATGAAAAAAGAAAAAAAGAAAAGAAAAGAAAAGAAAAGAAAAGGAGGATAGGTAGAAAAAAAAAGGATGATGAAAGGAAAGAAATGAAATTTAACAAAAAGAAAAGGATTAGGTAGAAAAAAAGGATGATGAAAAGAAAGAAAGAAAAGAAAAGAAAAGAAAAGGAGGATAGGTATAAAAAAAGGATGATGAAAAGAAAGAAAGAAAAGAAAAGAAATGGAGGATAGGTAGAAAAAAAAAAGGATGATGAAAAGAAAAAGAAAGAAAAGAAAAAAAAAAAGATATATATAAATATGAAATAAAGAAAAGGAAAAGAAATAAAAAGAAGGATAGGAAAAAAAAAAAAAGGATGATGAAAAAAAAAAGAAAAGGAAAGAAAAGAAAAAAAAAAGAAAATAGAAAAAAAGATGATGAAAAAGAAAGAAAGAAAAGAAAAGAAAAGAGGATAGGTAGAAAAAAAAAGGATGACAAAAGAAAAGAAAGAAAAGAAAAAGAAAAGGAGAATAGGTAGAAAAAAAAAGGATGATGAAAAGAAAGAAAAAGAAAAGAAGAAAAAAGAAAAGGAGGATAGGTAGAAAAAAGAGTGATGAAAAAGAAAGAAAGAAAATAAAAATAAAAAGGAGGATATAGAAAAAAGGATGATGAAAAGAAAAAAAAGAAATGAAAAGAGAAAAAGAAAAAGGAGGATAGGTAGAAAAAATGATGATGAAAATGAAAGGAAAAAGAAAAGGAGGATATTAGGAAAAAAAGGATGATGAAAAGAAAAGAAAAGAAAAAAAAGAAAAGGAGGATAGGTATAAAAAAGAGTGATGAAAGAAAGAAAATAAAAATAAAAGGAGGATATCTAGAAAAAAAAAGAAAATAAAAAGAAAAGAAAGAAATAGAAAGAAAAAAGGATAGGTAGAAAAAATGATGATGAAAAGAAAGAAAAAAAAAAAAAAGGAGAATATAGAAAAAAAGGATGATGAAAAAAGAAGAAAAGAAAAAAAAGAATAGGATAGGTAGAAAAAATGATGAAATGAAAAAGAAAAAAAAGAAAAGAAAATAAAAGGGGATAGGTAGAAAAAAGAAGGATGAAAAAGAAAAAAGAAAAGAAAAGAAAAAGAAAGGATAGGAAGAATAGAAAAAGGATGATGAAAAGAAAGAAAGAAAAGAAAAGAAAAGTTCTCCCTTTATAGAAAAAAAGGATGATGAAAACCCAAAGAAATAAACAAAAAATAAAAAGGAGGATAGGTAGAAAAAAAGGATGATGAAAAGAAAGAAAAGAAAAGAAGAAAAGGAGGATAGGTAGTGAGGATGATGAAAAAAAAGAAAGAAAAGAAAAGAAAAGGAGGGGGTGAGAAAAAAGGATGATGAAAAGAAAGAAAGAAAAAGAAAAAGAAAAGGACGTAGAAAAAAATGATGATGAAAAGAAAGAAAGAAAAGAAAAGAAAAGGAGGATAGATAGAAAAAAAGGATGATGAAAAGAAAGAAAGAAAGAAAAGAAAAGGAGGATAGGTAGAAAAAGGATGATGAAAAGAAAGAAAGAAAAGAAAAAAGAAAAAGGGATTTTTGATGAAAAAGAAAGAAAAGAAAAAAGGATGAGGAAGAAAAAAAAGGATGAGAAGGAATGAAAGAAAGAAAAAAAAGAAAAGAAAAGGAGGATATTAGAAAAAAAATGATGAAAAGAAAGAAAGAAAAGAAAAAGAAAAGAAAAAGGATTTATAAAAAAAAAGGATGATGAAAAAAAGAATCCAAAAAGAAAAGGAAATACGAAAAAAAGGATGATGAAAAGAAAGAAAGAAAAGAAAAAGAAAAAAAGGTAGAAAAAAAAGGATAGAAAGAAAAGGGAAAAAGAAAAGGTGATGAATGTAGAAAAAAGAGTGATGAAAAGAAAGAAAGAAAATAAAAAAAAAGGAGGAAAAAAAAAAGGAAAGAAAGAAAGAAAATAAAAGGAAAAAAAGAAAAGGAGGATTAAAAAAAAATGATGATGAAATGAAAGAAAGAAAAGATAAAGAAAAGGAGGAGAGGTAGAAAAAAGGATGATGAAAAGAAAGAAAGAAAAGAAAAAGAAAAGGAGGATAGGTAGAAAAAAAAGATGATGAAAAGAAAGAAAGAAAAGAAAAAGAAAAGGAGGATAGGTAGAAAAAAAAAGGATGATGAAAAGAAAGAAAGAAAAGAAAAGAAAAAGAAAAAGAAAAGGAGGATAGGTAGAAAAAAAGATGATGAAAAGAAAGAAAGAAAAGATAAAGAAAAGGAGAATAGGTAGAAAAAAAAGGATGATGAAAAGAAAGAAAGAAAAGAAAAAGAAAAGGAGGATACGTAGAAAAAAAGAGTGATGAAAAGAAAGAAAGAAAAGAAAAATAAAAGGAGGATAGGTAGAAAAAAAAAGGATGATGAAAAGAAAGAAAGAAAAGAAAAGAAAAAGAAAAAGAAAAGGAGGATAGGTAGAAAAAAATGATGATGAAATGA